GAGGAGGAGGAGGAGGAGGAGGAGGAGGAGGAAGAGGGGAGCTTGGGGAAAGAAGAAACCGCAGCATTGGTGGGAACTAAGGCTGGTCTCAGCCTCCACAGGAAGTATGACTGAGCTTTATATGGTGACAGGGAAACCAGGAGACCACAGAGACAGGGAGGCATCCACTGGCCAGTGGCAGCCAGAGTGCCAGTCTCAGATGCACAGGCTGTGTCATGCCTTGACTACCTGTTTAATAGGCTTGTTTCGACCTTGGAAGAACAGAGAGGTCCTAGGCAAATGTGAATTCCCAGGTGTGAGTCATGCCCTGGGCTTGTGCTGTAAGACCCAGGAGGGAAACGTGGCTGTCTCCTCCAGGTTTGGACCTGGGCCAGCCTCTGGGGCCCGCCTTGCTGGGTGGAGAACCTAGACACCCTTACTGCTAGCACCCATCACAACTAAGGCTGTGCTTCCTCAGCTCCAGTGGGTACTGGAGACAGAGACGTTAAGGGCATATTATAACATCTGAGATTCAGGGCAGTTCTAGAATAGAACCTCAACAAAGTCAACTAGGAAATGAGTTAGACACTGTGGCTGTACTTTTATGACACTGCCCCATCTACTGGTGGCAGACAAAAGTGCCACTCGGTAAGATGATTTCTCATCAAACTGGACAAGCCAGTGGTTGAATCAACACAGCCAAATCACTACTGGAAGGAAATGCCGCCACCAAGAGTCCTAGTCCCTCATTTGGCATCTGAGAGCCAGTTTTTATCTCTCAGAAGGCTGGCTTTCTGCCACTTTATGTCTTGCATAATGCCCTTCCCTCTCTACCCTCCTCCCCAGCAGTCCCATTGAGTGGACATTGACTTCAAAGGTGACAATGATGAATCTGGACTACTCAAAGTCCTTCAACAAATATTTGTTGAGAGTCTGCTGTGATGATGATGTTGCTGGGTATGGAGCAGTAAAGAAGTCAGCGATGTTTGCCTTACCAGGATTGATAGCCTGTGGGGAGGCAAATAGCCAACAACCAAGGAATAAAATACCAGATAAGTGGTAATTTCCCTGATGAACAGGAGCAGGGCTAGAAGTGAAACTGACTGGTTTCAAAGCAGGAAGGTTGCCTCTCTGGAAGAGTCCAGAATGCCAAACGTCCTCAGTAGCAAGGCACTCAAAGTAGCTAGGTGAGGGGCTGGCGAGATGGCTCAGCGGTTAAGAACACTGACTGTTCTTGCAGAAGACCGGAGTTTGAATCCCAGTACCCACAAGGCAGCTAATGATTATCCGTAACTCCAGTTCCAGGGGATCGGCTAGAAGTGAAACTGACTGGTGTCAAAGCAGGAAGGTTGCCTCTCTGGAAGAGTCCAGAATGCCAAACGTCCTCAGTAGCAAGGCACTCAAAGTAGCTAGGTGAGGGGCTGGCGAGATGGCTCAGCGGTTAAGAACACTGACTGTTCTTGCAGAAGACCGGAGTTTGAATCCCAGTACCCACAAGGCAGCTAATGATTATC